AGTGTGCGTGTCATAGCAGATAGCGAGAAGAGAATTTTGAAGCCTGGCCCCAAACAAGAGATGAACAGCACAGAAAGGGCGGTTCGTGGCAGATTGATGGCGATGGCAGGGGCACGGCAAGTGCGTGCCGTCTGACTGCTCTTCGATGGAATCAGCACATTGCCGTGTTCCTGCTTCCCGCCCTCATCGCAGGTCGCACAGTCACCTCTCCGCGACCGACCAAGGCGGATGATGTGGCGTAAGCCTCACCGATGACATAATTCTGGCCTCCGGAGCGACAAGCGTAAGCCCAGCGACCGTATGTCTCAGCAAAATGCGGCGTCCAGAGGACCAGGAAGAGTTTCAGCTTTTGAACCTCGTGTCGTGAGTCACACCTGCCAGCGATGTCACAGTACCTCTCGTGTTTATCCCCGAGAAGGGCCAAAAAAGCTTAACCTTTTCCTTGGGGCTGCAGCATAACAGACGGGTTATTTTTCTTTCCTTTGTTCGCTACCAAAGATCAAGGCCATGCATGTGCAAGGATCCGGCATGGCTCAACAGCATGTTCACTTTCCCTGCTGTCGTCCGATGCAGCTTCCGCAGGTAGGCGCAGCGGCTTACCTCCGATGACAAGCGAGTTGTCAGTACTGATGCGCCCCGCAGTCGGTTCCAAGGATTCCACCATATACGAAATGTCCGCTTTCCTGCTGAAAGCTCGCGATCACACATCGTATCATGGTGGAGCAATGGGTTTTGAGACTTCAAGCTCAGTGGCGTTATTTTTAGCAAGCCTTACATTACTAGCGGTGCGGATCGGAACGACAACTGGAACCTTAAGACGAGGATGGTAGCCAACTACCGCCTTGGTATTTGCAGCGTCGCGTTCCCATTGGGTGGGCCCAGAGGAACAGCTAAGCGTTCAACGGGTGGCCTCGCATCGTATTTTCGCCTTCGTTTTCTAGTTCTGGAACAGCTGGATGTGCTTTTTGAATTTCATGCTTGTAACTGCCTGGCTTACTCATTGTACCAAGCTTTTTGTCTTGACAGTTGCTTTTGCATACTTCGCGTGGTAAAGGGTCCATCAACCAAACTTCTATCGTGTCGGTACCGAAAGAACAGAAACGAAACAATTTTTGCTCCGGCAGTGGAATCGATTACCTAAAGCAACTTTCTCATTCGGTGGTAGATCTGCGAAACGTCAAGAATCATTCCCGAGGCCAAGTACGGAAGCCAAGATGGCCGAAAGTTTCCGAGCCGGTGAACGTGGAGACCGTGAAGACGGTTTGTACTGGGGAGTCAGCTAAGCTCAGTCCTGCGGTTTCTGTGGAGTATTGGGGCTCACAAGATGCGTCTATCAACTTTACCCTATCTGGAGGTGTAACGCGAACAGCGATGGGAGTGGAGTTGTGGAATCGACAAAGCTTTTGTGGGTATGTGGAGTTGACTGTCAAGGCATCCCTGGTGGGCGCCTGGCAAAGAACTTCGGCATGTGTATAGTCAACATTTGACTTCGCTTGACCATGGCTGTGAAGGCACGTATTCACCAGCTTGGCACTGACAGACCTGCGAAATCGATAGCGACAAGGTACTGTGCTGACTGAGCTCCGCAGCAAGGCTTCCATGCGCTTGACTCGTCGAGATGTGCACTGGACCCCAGTTCAGTCATCAGCCACTCAGACCGAATGCTTACATGTCTACCCACTGACACGACAAGGCCTGACCCAACGGGTCGCGTTGATCTCTTCAATCACGAATGTAGGCGTCTAGGCAGCACTGAGTCCAAGACACTGACCGACTCTTCTCTCGTGATGTGCAATGCTTCATCAAGCCACAACAATACTTCGCCATCGGCACCATCGCCCCGAAGTCGTATCACGCTGACTGCTGCCTCAATGATACCTGAATTGGATCATGGGCACTCGTGTCGGATAGTCATTGCTCCACCTCGCGTCCTCGAAGAAAGGCAATGCTAATACGAGTATGCAGGCTCAGCAACATCGCTCACAGCCGCATGACACGGTACTTCACCGAGCCCCGGAAAGCCAGGCACCACGGGGCCGTCCATGTCCTCGAGCGGAATCTGCGCCTATACTCAACTCATCACTTGCGTCCGTACCATCACCATCATCGAGGGGCCCATACTCAACACATGCACGTAGTCACAACTCTAAGAGTATCTCGCACGCCTTAGCACCTGAATCTCATCACCCACATCCATACTAACATGTGCACATAGTTCATAAATTTAACAGCATACCAACAACTCTATTACCTACACCTCCGCCTTCGTCCCTCGTAGCGCCCCCACACACCCCAAGCTCAAACCCCAAATCCAGGCCCCCATAACAGACCCGCCATCGCAATCTCAACCGTAGACACCAAAGTCCATCGAGGAACTAGAACTAATCCACGTGCTCAACACCCGCAATAGCATGGCAATCTCCCGTCGCATTCGTCTCTCCCATTAGAACCGCACTTCGATGCATACTCCGCCTGTTCAGCACGCTCCGCGACTCTTCCCACACCCGTGCGCCTCCGCAAGGCTTGCATCCAAGACCCAGACCCAGCCGCCAAAGCCCTCAGCACTGAGCCTCAACCGCACCGTCTCTGCCAGATTATAGTCTAATGATTAGATTAGCCGCAAATTTCCATGAATCAAGGTTCAGAAGAGGGTACAAATGTAGCGCCGAGAGTAACGCCGTTGGGGCGACTATCGAGTCAAGCGTTTTGGCGTCGTTGATGGTATCGAACTCTAAATTACCCACGGCCACGTGCGACGGAAAGGGCTAGGGGAAGTTTGTTGGTGCGAGACCGGCTACCCGCGCGATGGGAGATGGTGGTATGGGATGGTAGTTGGAGGGAGGTGGTGGGCGGCCATGTGGAAGCCACGGCGGGTAGGGTAGTGTGTGAGCTATCGTGGGTGGGTGTGCGTGTGGAGGGGTAGGAGGGTAGAGGTGGCGTTTTTATCATATGCCGAGGGAGGATGTTTGGGGGATATATTTGAGTTACGTGTGAGGGTGAGGGAAGGCTCGCGAAGACGGAATAGCCGCGTAGTACAACGATGGAATTTGTTGTGTTGAGAATATGCTCGTAAAGCGCCCGCCCGGTACATACGCGATGCTAGAAAAAACTGTAAAAAGGATATCACTGTTGCAATTCAGTGTGATATGGGCGCTTGAGATGACTCATGGAATTGAACAATCGTCTAGTGCGTCAACGACCTAAGTTGCAGCTTTAAAGCCCTTCACGGCTCATATGAATATCTGGACATACCGGGGGGTCATAACTCATCCTTGTCTTCGTGCGTAGTCACCTTCGTTCGTGCCTGTTCGATAAGTCCCTTGCGTACCATGCTCGTAAGTACCTCGTACGCGACTTGCGCCGCTGCCATTCCCGTCGTCTCTGCTGCGCCATCATACGCGGGACTGACTTCCACAATGTCCGCACCGATAACATTCATGCCTTCGATACCTCTCAGTATGCGGATAAGCTCACGCGTAGTCCAGCCTCCAGGTTCAGGTGTGCCCGTGCCCGGTGCGAGTCCAGGGTCAATAACGTCGATGTCGATGCTGAGGTAGACGGGCATTTCTGTTCCCACACGATTCATGATCGAGGTAATGACGCCCTTTACTCCGATTTCATCGATGTCGTCTGTTGCGATGCGAATCCAGCCTTGCTGTGAGTCGTCGGTGTAGTCCTCTGGTTCATCACCCGACAGTCTAGTCCTCAGTCCTGCGTGTACACTCGAGTCGTTTGCGATCAGACCTTCCGTAGCTGCGATCCAAAACATGCTGCCATGATTGAAGAATGATTGTGTAGAAGGATCTTCCTGGTCGATCCAAGCGGACGGGTACTTCGCCGGATGCCAGGTATCCAAGTGTGCGTCAAAGTGTACCACGGCAATCGGCTGCCCATATACATCCTTCAACGCCCTCAGAGCTGGAAGTGCAATGCTGTGATCTCCGCCAAGAGTCAGCAGCTTTGGCTTCTTGAGATAGTGCACCCCGCTCTCCGTGCTCTTCTCCGTCGCAGGTCTTTTTCCCAGCTCGAGAAAGGCCTCGCTCATTTGTTTCAACGCCAACGTGTTGTCGAAGGGCGTGATTGGTATGTCTCCGCAGTCTACGATCTTCGCCCATGACGTGTACGGGTTGAGGTTGGCTCGGGGGTTGAAGCCTCGGAAGGAGGTCTGACGGCTTGAGCCGGCGCGGATTGCACGGGGTCCGAATCGAGCACCGGGTCGGTAGGAGACGGCAGTGTCGAAAGGCGCACCGAGAATGGCAATGTCGTAGGTCGTCTCTGGGTGTGTCAAGCAGCGCGTATGCGGTAGGTGAGCGAAAGTTGAGATGCCAGAGAAACCCCACTATTCAATTGTTAGCTATTACCCAGGTGCTGCTGGAATGATACTTACGTCTGTACCCCACTTCCTCTCCAATTCATCTAGTCGGTCTTGAGAGAAGGCTTGTTGGTCTTCGACATGATGAGTTGCGTGTGAAGAGACGCAAGCCGCACTTGCGACAGCAGCTACCCAATTCCACCGCATGATGCCCGTATTGTCAGATTGCAAGGGTTGCAAAGACAAAGCCTCGAGCTGAAGTACATGTGGGCGGCGTGTAGGGCGGAGGATTATGTAAATCGCGTCTTATCGTGTGTCGATGTCATTCCGATCCCGCCCTTCGGCGATGCGGGGCGTCCCAGAAAGGCAGGTCCAGCCTGGCGTGCGCGCGGAGAACGAGAGTAAGTCGGCATTGCATTCGGTATGTGCTGAAGGAACAATATGGAAGGATGGCACGAAGTTGACGAGACAAGAGATGAGATGGAACACGAGTGGTGACGTAGTGGGCTTATCCCGTGAGAACGCGTCGTGCGCTAAGCCTGGATCCGCGACGCGCGACCTCAGGGTGCTCGAGCTCAACCACGACTATAGCTTTCTCGATTGACATATTGCGCATCATTCTCGAGCTCGTCCTTTCTAGTCACTACATTCACGAAGCAATCAAAAGTTCTGCGCAAGATTCAGCGCCATGCCTGAGGTCAGGACGCGTCCAATTCGCACGCGCACGAAAGTTGCTGATATCACGTAGATCGCGGAAGTTGCGCGCATTGTCGGTTTCTTGAAGAAACATGCCGTAGGCAAGACGATCAAAAATGTCATGGCACAGGAAGATAATGTTCGTTTTCCCATTCTTCATGATGGAACGTCGACTCACAATACCCAGATCGTCTTTGGAAAGGTCGGAACGTCTGCATCCGCCTTCCAGGAGGCTTTGACAGGCAAGAAAATATTAGATGCACGACAGCAAGGGAAATACTTCTGGCTGGTCATGGACTCGCCGCCACATCCTTTGATGCACTTTGGAATGGCAGGCTGGATGGTTCGTAACTTCTGTACGGACTGTATGTGAGACATGTGCTGACTTTGTGTACCTGATTCAGAAATTTAGCAATGATGATTCAGCACATTATCGGCCAGCGAAACCTGAAGAGGCAGAATGGCCACCCAAGTACTGGAAGTTTATCCTGCAGTTGAAAGACTCCAAGAACGAGGTCGCCTTGGTAGACGCAAGACGGCTTGCTCGTGTGAGATTGGTAGACGCTGCTGCCGAAGACATGAGGAAGACTACACCACTGAAAGAGAACGGGCCAGATCCTGTCATCGACAAAGACATCCTGACCGTGGATTGGCTTAGCAAGAAGCTGCGGAGCAAGAAGGTACCCGTAAAAGCATTGCTCCTTGATCAAGCCAACGTGTCCGGCATAGGAAACTGGGTCGGTGACGAGGTCATGTACCAGGCTCGTCTACATCCCGAGCAGTACAGCAACACCTTTAGCGATGAGCAGATCAAGCGACTGCACGATGCTATCATGTATGTCTGCGACACCGCCGTGGAAGCCAACGGAGATTCGGACGCCTTCCCCAAAGATTGGTTGATGAAACACCGTTGGGGCAAGGGCAAGAAGGAAGCTCAGAAACTCCCCACCGGCGAGAAGATTACGTTCCTCAAGGTCGGTGGGCGAACTTCAGCCATTGTACCGAGTGTCCAGAAAAAGACGGCAGCAGTTGCTGGTGACGTGTCGGAGGGCGCAGACGAGGACGATGTCGAGGAAGATGCGAAACCTAAAAAGGGCGGCAAAAAGAAGGCCAAGGCTGTTAAGAAGGAGGAAGAGGAGGAAGACGTAGAGGACGCGAAACCTAAGAAGGGTAGCAAGAGAAAGGCTCAGGCTACCAAAGAAGAGGAAGATGTCGACGAGGCCGAAGAGGAGGCACCAGTCAAGCTAAAGCGAGGACGTAAAAATGCGAAGGAGGTCAAGGCAGAGGTCAAAGAGGAGGACGTTGATGCTACGGAGGAGAAACTCCCAGTAAGAGCAAAGCGTGGCAGCAAGAAGGCGAAAGTCGACGTGGAGGAAGCCGAGGATAAAGAGGTTATTGAAGCTGAAGAGATACAGCCGGTCAAGAAACGCAAGACTACTGCAAACGGTACCGCAAAGCAGAAGAAGGCTGCTACTGCGAAAGAAGAGGCCAAAGGCGATGATACGACTGCAAAAAGGCGATCAGGGCGTATGTCCAAGTAGAGCGCTGTTGGAGAGTATGTACTACTAGAAATCTGTGTATAAATATTGTGTATCCCATAGTCGACTCAATTGACTGGAGAACGATATCATGAGGTGGGGTGTAGCACGTGCGTGACGAGGTCGAGGTGCGGGCGCTGTGGTCATAGCACTGGAACATCTGAAATTCAAGCTCCCCACACACACGTAGTAGTGCCACATTGAGACTACCAGCCACCATTCCCGCGGCTGCTTGTTCCACACCCATTGTCGCGATGATATACTGCATCGAATAAATCATCTCCCACCCACCCTAATTCCCCACGGTCCCATCGCACGTGCGTCCACTTGTCAATTCCGATCGCAACTTGTTCGCACCGGAACCTCGTTGACGCTCCGCGCCTACCAACCACACGACCGCCGCGATGCCGCAACAACTGCCCAGCAAGGAGGCGACGCTCTTCCGCTCGCTCATCAAATTCTACGAGGGCAAGCTGTACAAGAAGGGTAGGCGCCAATTGCACGTGGACGACGCCGGGCACGACCGCTGACCCCGCCAGGCCTCAAAGCTGCCGAGCAGATCTTGAAGAAATACCCCACCCATGGCGACACCCAGGCCATGAAGGCCCTGATCCTCAACTCCCAGGGCCAGGGCGACGACGCCTTCGCCCTCTGCAAAGAAGCCCTCCGCAACGACATGAAGTCGCACGTCTGCTGGCACGTCTACGGCCTGCTATGGCGATCGGTCAAGAACTACCCCGAGGCAATCAAGTCGTACAAGATGGCCCTGCGCATAGAACCGGCCTCGCTCAACATCCTCCGCGACCTCGCCCTTCTCCAATGCCAAGTCCGCGACTACGACGGATACATTGAGAGCCGGCGGAAGATGATGCAGGAGCGCCCACAACTGCGCCAGAACTGGACGGCATTGGCAGTCGCTTACCATCTGTCAGGCAACTACGCCGAGGCCGAAAACATCCTCAAGACGTACGAAGAGACGCTCAAACAACCCCCCGCCAAGTCGGACCTCGAGCACTCCGAAGCGACCCTCTACAAGAACATGATAATATACGAGTCGGGCGACGTGGAGCGTGCGCTGAACCACTTGGAAGACGTGGTGCGCGTCAGCCTGGATCGCACCGCCGCGCTGGAACTCAAGGCGAAATACCTCCTCGAGCTGGGACGGAAAGAGGAGGCTGAGAAGGCATACAGGATTCTTTTGAGCAGGAACAGCGAGTACCGCGCATACTTCGACGGCTTGGAGAAGGCCCTTGGCCTGGACCGGTCCAACGACGCCGACATCGAGAAGCTGAACGAGCTGTACCAGTCTTTCGCCGACAAGAATCAGCGCAACGATGCTGCGAGGCGGATACCGTTGGACTTCCTTCAGGGCGAGGCTTTCAAGACACAGGCGGATGCCTATCTCCGGGGCAAGCTGAATAAGGGCGTTCCCTCGACCTTCCCCAACATCAAGTCGCTTTACCGCGACGAGGAAAAGAAGGCAGTCATCGAGGAGCTGGTCCTTGGCTATGCTTCCAGCAAACCGACGAGCGACGAGAGCAACGGCGACAACTCCGACCGTTTCGACGAGGCTGTGCTATACTTCCTGGCCCAGCATTACAACTACGTCCAAAGTCGCGACCTAGAGAAGGCCATGGAGTACATAGACAAGCTGCTCGAGAAGGACCCGAAATCGGTCGATTACAACCAGACAAAGGCTCGGATCTACAAGCACATGGGCGACGTACAAAAGGCCGCGGAAATCCTCGACCAAGCACGAGAGCTGGAGAAGGGCGATCGATACATCAACACCAAGTGCGCAAAATACCAATTACGGAACAACGAGAACGAAACCGCGCTTAACACTATGAGTAAATTCACTCGCAACGAGACTGTGGGCGGACCTCTTGGTGATCTCCACGATATGCAGTGCATGTGGTATCTGCTTGAAGACGGCGAGGCATACTTGCGACAAGAGAAGCTCGGTCTCGCTCTCAAGCGCTTCACCGCCATTGCAGACATCTTCGATGTGTGGCATGAGGACCAGTTCGACTTCCACAGCTTCTCATTACGGAAGGGCCAGATCCGCGCTTACATCGACATGGTCAGATGGGAAGACCACCTCCGCGATCATCCTTTCTTCACTAGGGCAGCCACTCAGGCAGTCGAGCTATACGTACGGCTAGCGGACAATCCAAAGCTCTCGAGCTCGGACGAACTTGATCTGGAAAACCTGGATCCTACCGAGCGCAAGAAAGCACAAAAGAAGGCTAAGAAAGAGAGGGAGATGGCCGAGAAGGCCGAGGCCGAGCGCAAAGCTGCTGCTGCCGCAAAGGCGACTGCCAAGGCCGATGACGGCGAGACAAAGAAGGAAGACCAAGATCCAAATGGCGAGAAGCTGCTTCAGACAAAGCAGCCTCTTGAGGACGCACTGCGATTTTTGCAGCCTATGCTCGAGCTAGCGCCCAAGAACATTGGAGCTCAGAACGTAGGTTTCGAGGTCTACCTCCGACGAAGTAAGTCGCTCAACTGCACATCCCATGCGATATGTATGCTAACAGTCATCCAGACAAGTATCTGCTCGCCCTGAAGTGTCTGCAGGCTGCAAGGGAGATTGACCCAGAAAACCCCAAGCTACACGAGCAGAGCGTCCGCTTCCGTCAAGCTAGTAAGTTACATCCAGAATGCCTCGTCACGCTCATCGCTAATTTAGCAGTCTCCAAACCCGCTGAGCCCCTCTCATCTCAGGCCTCGGATGTCATCAAGGAGTCCTTCACCACACCACCTGCCGATGCTGACCTCAAATCCTACAACGATGACTTCCTGAAGAAGCACTCGCAGAGCGCATCCCATCTGCAGTCCGGATACAACGTCCGGTATATCCTCGACAACAGCTCGAAATCCCAGAACGAGCAAGACCTACAGAAGACTTTGGAACTGTCGAGCATTACGATAGAAGAAGCTCAAGCCGGACTCGCGCTACTCAATCAATGGAAGAGCGAACAGAAGGTCAAGGACGACTACAGGGCGAAGGCCGCAGGTCGTTGGAGCTCTGCCACTGTATTCAAGAACTAAGAATTTCTCTTGGTTCGCACGGAACGCTTTTGAGTTGAACGACAGTATACGTGGCTATGAGTTTATGTACTACATCTAGTCCCAGCTTAGGTAGATGACGCGCAGCATATGCATTTGCACGGTGTCTGATGCGCTACAACAAAAGCAATGAATAGAATCAGTAAACAGATATACATCATGAGCGGGTTTTCAAATACTGACACCAGACGGCGATCAACAAGACATGAGAAATTGCGTCACACGCAGGAGCTTCCGGAAAGTAGTTGTTTCCGAATGTTCCATCGGCCAATCACAGGCCCCGCAGTACGAAAACTGCCCTTTGTGGCTAGCGTCAGGTCCCTGTGGGGAGGCGTCACAGCCGCACCTTACGAAACAATCGGTCTTGCTTTCGATGTCACCTGCACGCTTCAACAGCGTTCTGTGTATCGTGTCAGTGATTTTGCTGCCGTATCTGCGACCTCAACGTGTCGTGGAACTATCTCGAGCCTCTGCGACTTACTGAGAAGGCGCATCTCATTTTACCTCTTTACGCCACCGTATACACCGTATCGGGATCCGGTTCCATTGTCGGAAGGCATGGCTACGAGACGATCACACAACAAGACGAGGCTGGGCTGCAAGGAGTGTAAGCGAAGACGTATTAAGGTGAGTTGTTCGTACGAGTTTCTTATTGGTCCTTCATGCATACGGGTTAGTTATGCCCGTTTCGGTGCATCTCGATCACGTTACTTACCCAGCGCCACTGGGTAGCCGAGGACGTCTATCTGAGAGTTATGGCAAAGGGCATCAAGTTCAAGTAATGCCATGACCCACAGAACAGTTTCTTGGGTTGTGGTGACACAGGACCCAAGAAGCTCCAATACCCTCGCCTTCTAAGGATGCCACGGAATCACTGCAAACCAGATCAATCGCTAGATGTTCTGGCTTCTATGATGCTAATTTGAAGTTCAGTGCGACTGCAAGCATCCGTCGTGTGCGAACTGCGACAAGAAAGGCGACACATGCAGCTTTCTAATGCTGGCTCCTTCGTCACGCCTCTCGACAACTTCGACATCACCGACATCAACACAACAGCACATGATATCACCATCACCGATACCAAGCACACCAGAAACGCAAAACACACCTTCATACTCGCCAACCAATCTCATCGCATTTAGTAATGAGATAGCCCTCGCAACGCAGATGCCACGCCAAACTGAGATCTGTTTGGACGACATACCAATAGACTTTTCCACAAGCTTAACCGTGTCGCCTTCTCAAAGGGAGTATCAAGGAGGCTACTTCCCCGAGCTCACCATACCGCCTTATCTCCGCTTGGACGATGCCTGGAAAAACATCCGGGAGTTACTTCCGCCATCACTACAAGAAGTCCTATGTCACTACGAGTTTACAACATCTCTCTCACTCGCGAACGATGACCCCGCAAAAGCAGCCTGGCAAACCTATGTTCCTGAGATGGCGCAAAACCACGACTTCCTGACGAACTGCGTACTTTCCGTTGCCTCATTACATCTCGGCCGACTCTACGACCGCAAAGAGGATAAGAGACGAATGAACGCATTAGCAGCAGCACGCATGAATAAGGCTCTCGTGAGATACAGAACAGAGCTTCAAAACATAACGCAAGAGAACGCAGCAGCACTCTTTGCGAGTTCTACATTTACAGCTGTATATCTCTTCCGCACCTCCGCGATAGACATTGAAAACCTAATCGCTTCAATACCACCCGATACGACCGTCCCACCACCAGACATAGCCGACAAAATGCTTTCCTGCGCCCTCCGCACCATCTGGGGTCTCCGCGGCCCCCTCACCGTCCTTCTCTCAGGCTGGAACTGGGTCGTAGGAAGTGATCTCCACCCCGTCACAGCGCGAGAATGGTGGCCGCGAACCACCACGCCCGCGACCCCACGAGCCCTCAACGAAGACGCCCGTCTCGCCGCCAT